ACGGACGACGACGACGACGGACGACGACGGACGACGACGGACAATCACTCATATGATAAGCTCCGCTCGACAAAGTCGACAGCGGAGCTAAAAAAAACGGTCACAAGGCATTATTCTCCCTGAAAGAGAAAAAAAAACGGTCATGATAGGAAACTTATCATTAAGTTATCACTATTCCTTTTTGATAAACTAATCAAACCACTCATTTTTGATGGTAGTGATGTCTGGGACGGCGAATGTAATATGGAATCTAGCATTGTAGATGTACATTTCAGACTCTGTCGGCCCTTCCTAAGCATACATATTAACATATAGCGAAATTGATTGATATATTCGATTGAAGTGTTCATCCAAAAATAACTTTACAGTGGTGCTCGTAACATCGATACTAAATAAAGCCCAAATAGTAAACAAAGCATTTACATTTGCAAATAGATTAAAATAGAATCAATATTAACAAATATCAACCACAAACAGCAGATAAATATATACATGCTTTTTCAACATTGAACAGCAAGTATTGTTTCAACAAATATACAGAAGACATTAACACGAACCACAGAGCAAATTCGAAAGCTAGAAATAAACTAAAACGCACAGGTTATTTAACAACAATATCCACTTTGAAAAATACCTAATTGGTTGAAAACATAATGCTCTACGTGAGTCTCTCATCGGATTCCGATTTAGTAACCACTGATAAATTAATATAGTCGACATTATTATGTCCTAGTAATAACAAGATCTGTGAAGATGAACAGAATTTCTTAATGATTACACACTCTACTGATCGCAAAGAAGTAAATTGTTTCCAGAAGCTGTAAGTTCCATTCAATAAAAAAATAAATTTGAATTCTTTGTGGAAGGCGATGACTTCAATATGATTTCAATAGCGCTTGCGCAGTACATGTCATTATGTATGCAACATAGAACACACACCTCAATTGTTTTGTTTTTTGAAGCTGTGTTTTCACTTTTATTTTATCCATTGTAACCCTTTTCATTCCTTCCAAGCGTTGTTATGTGTTAAAATCTAAATCGAACGTTTTATATGTACATTAGACTTCATTCCTATCCATCTTTCACTTCAATCTGACAAACCATCCATTTTACTGTACTTGGAATTACGATGAAAAAAAACACATCTTTTTATCTCATTAATGTGTGAAGACACATTTCCTCCTGTTGCTGGACGATTTTCAATTAAGTTGGTTTACTGAAATGCTACGCGGACTCTAACGGTAGTTAACATACTGTTTGAGGTCAAGGTCCTAGTAAACGGGCCAAGGACGTTTACTCGAACCATGGAAGGTAAACTCTTTTTACCTTCCATTTGAACCGAAGTAATATTGTGAAATTGTTAGAGACGAGCAAAAAGTGGTATTACTGTAATTAATTTAATTGATATGGTAATTAGATAATTACAGTTCAATGTTGCATAATGAATTTTAAGTTACGTAACCATTACGTAGATTGGTTTAAACAATTTTTAAATTTGGTTTGTTTAGTTGTGTGATCTAGCCGATAGATCCCAATGCATCATGGGATATCAGACGGTTGCTTTGTATTATTACGCAATATAATTAGTTTAGCTGCCTTTCCAATTGTGAATTAAGTATAGAGTAGTTTTCTTACACAACAAATAGTGTTTTTTTTCAATCAGAAGAAACTTTCCTTTCTGTAGTGAAAACAACCATCGTAATCACTTATCTCAGCTTCAGAATCAAATAAACAATATATGTAGTAATTATCAGTCGATTTTTTTTTTATCACGTACATTTTACTTAAATTGTATTTAAGTTCTGTGAATTTCTTAAATTGTGTCCATCTACCTCACATACACACGACTCTAGAGGGCGTGACTTATGTGCTGATACCGTTATCTACAGCTAACAAGCACCCTGTCGTCTGAGATAGCTTCGCTCAGACCGCTGTTATCAATGCACATTTCAATTAAAGAACTGAAGATATCATCAGAAAATGAACAATGTTTATAGTATTAAAGCAATCAGACTTGTTGTTTTCAACAACAATTTGAAAATATAACTTTTTATCAAAAATATTCAGTAAAATTAGATAATTGAAGAACAAAATCATCACGAAATGAACAAATCTGAGAGGTCTACCTGTAGTACCTATGTAGTATATCTAATATCAAAGCAATTAGACTTGCGGGTTTTAACAAGAAGTCGAAAATATCACTTTTTACCAAAAGATGACAACAATATTCATGAAAATTAGAGAATTAAAGATATCATCACGAAATGAACAAATATGAGAGAGGTCCACATGTAGTACATATATATGTAATATCAAAGCAATTGGACTTTCGGTTTTTAACAAGAAGTCAAAAATATCACTTTTTACCAAAAATGACAAACGTATTCATGAAAATTAGAAAATTAAAGATATCATCACTAAATGAACAAATCTGAGAGAGGTCCACATGTAGTACCTAGATATGTAATATCAAAGCAATTGGACTTTCGGTTTTTAACAAGAAGTCAAAAATATCAGTATCAAAGCATTTGGGCTAGCGGTTTTCAAGAAGAAGTCGAAAATAGCATTTTTGACCAAAAATGACTAAAATATTCGCTATAAATAAGACAATTGAACATATCCACACGAAATGAACAAATCTGAGAGAGAACCACCCAAGGTACCTTCCTAGTAAGTTTCACAGCTATACAGTTTGTGGTTTTAAGAAGAAGTCGAAAATGTAAAGTTGACGAAGGCAACGACGGACGCCGATGGACAATCAGTAATACTATAAGCTCTGCTTGACTTTATTGACAGCGGAGCTAATAAAATCAGATATTTTACAGTTCTGTGAGGCATGCGCCAGACGACCTACGAGACTGATATTGAAATGGAAGAGTGACTGATATAATAATAGCAAACCAAAGGAGTCTTACTGATATATATTCATAAAATATAATTGAGAAATTCATATGACCAGCTCAATAGGAAAATGTAAATAAATGTGTGAATGAAATTTGTGCTGTAGTGTTGGCTACTGGTATTGTTATGGAATGAAAATCAAATGATTTCCTTTGAACTTTGCTTAGCCATATTGTCAAGTGTAACTTGCAAGACTATTTAGGGAGATGTGGCAGAATACAACATGTGCAAAATAAAAGGAATCTCTGCATCCATTCCATATACACAAAAGCTTACCAATGTCAACAAAATATGTAGAAACAAGAATCCCTATCTTTCCCAAAATAAAGATTACATTTGTTATATACATGTTTCAATGAAATGCAGATAGTTCACTTACAACTTTAAAAAAAAAACACTTGATTAACTTTTTTTTAAACAACATCATTTATTCAGATGCTATTCCAATGTGTACATATATTCTGTGTACACCCTAGTACAAGGTAGTATTTCCTGAAATATATTATTATTTAATACTGGTTCTGTGAACTCCCTAGTACAAGGTGGTATTTCTCCAAAATATATGATCTAGTACTGGATCTGTGAACTCCCTAGTACAAGGTGGTATTTCCTGAAATATATGATCTAGTACTGGTTCTGTGAACTCCCTAGTACAAGGTGGTATTTCTCTGAAATATATGATCTAGTACTGGTTCTGTGAACTCCCTAGTACAAGGTGGTATTTCTCTGAAATATATGATCTAGTACTGGTTCTGTGAACTCCCTAGTACAAGGTGGTATTTCTCTGAAATATATGATCTAGTACTGGTTCTGTGAACTCCCTAGTACAAGGTGGTATTTCTCTGAAATATATGATCTAGTACTGGTTAGACATGACAATAAATAGACCAATGGTTTAACAGTAGTGGAACATAAAGTTTCTGCTGATTGGCTAGGCAGGTAAGTAGTTAGAACGTGATAGCCAATGAGGAACAATCTTCTATCTGATTTCAGCTTCCCCCACTGCTTTGTAAATTGAGAAAATACAGCAAGTCAAACAAATTCTTGTGATTAAACAAAAATTGCTGGTTGCTGTAGCAACAAAAATGTTGAAAACTTTGGTGAGTTCCTGTGTAATCCTTGAGTTATAAAATCTAAAGTCATGAATTTGAGCGTACAGTATAGGAAACCAATCGCAGACATACTTGAATACCAATATAGCCTATGTGTACTGTAATTATATGCACATGACACTTAACCTAGTAAAGTCACATGACTTAGAGAAGTAGTCTTTCACAAACTTTATTATGACAGTCTGTTTTTTGTTTTTTAACAAATTGTAAAAATTAATAATTCATAAAACTAAAATTCAAAAGACTGCCAATAATATATTCCATCAGACTGAATAAAATCGAACTGTAAAGGTGACATCCTCCTGTGAAAGATTTCAACACATGTTGAATAAATAAACTAATCTCAAAGACCTAAAGTAATAAATGCTGCCCTCTAGTGTCAGACATTACAAAATACAAGAAATCAAGGTGAAAGTGTATCAAGAAAACTGTTTCAAATTAATAAAAGTGTTTTCAGAGCTCTACTTTTTCTGTCTTTGCCTTCACACTGTCTGCCTTTTTCCCTTTAGGAGGGGTAGATATGGGTTTGTATTTTTCACGTTCTACATTTGAGGCACATCGGAATCCCAGGTTGTCTGAGCCTGCGTCAGCGGTGTTACCCATCCTGAAAAAAATAGACACAATTCTATGTTAATTTGAATATTTTTTTTGTTTTTAACTTTTTTATTTTTGTTTTTATTTTTCAACTTCTTTGGTTAATAAATATTTTTAAATAAATATTGCTTTTTTATAGATTTTTCTTCTGTATTATGGAAATTTGTTTTCAAATGGTATCATGTGATAAAGGAGGAGTTTCCATCTGTTGCACCCTGGGTAATCAAATTCCTGTATGCAACAGTTTAGTCTGAACTATCTGTGTGGGCAGTACCATTTTATAAGTTAATTAAATTATTGTACCAAGTTATGTCCAATATGGATTCCATGCCATCATGTAAAATACATTGTTTACTCAAATTTGTATCCAAGATGACTGTGATATTTAAAAATAATCCTAAACATGTTTATAGTGTTATTAGAAGCACATGTGTTTACGAAAATGTTGTCACGTTGAACTCCTCAAATGTGTATTGGAGCAACAATTGAACATTTTTATGTACCATAATTTCTTATTTGATTTGGACCCGAATAGATATACTTTACGATTGGCTTCAGATCTTATCAACATTTATGAAAAAAGTATGAAAAGTACTGTAAAATACTTTATTTTTGCTATTTTCACTGAAGAGATGATTCAGTGTAAATAAATCACACCGAATGTATGCCTTTGTTTTCTATAATTTATCTTCAACTTCAAATTCAATACAAAGCAAAATATTATACAGTTAGGTAGATTTATTTTGTAAAACATAAGTTGACTTAATAGTCAATATGGTCAATAGAAGAGATGGCAACGTGAGGTTGTTGCACTTCAATACGATACACTATTATGGATTTAATAATTGCTTCTAATATAAGAAATATGGTACATGCAACTCCAACTCCAAGAAACAAATATCACAGTACATACTTTGTGGTCACCCTAGCTAAGTGATTAAATCGTACCTTGTAGTCACCCTAGCCATGTGGTTAAAAGCGCCATCTTTTGAGTCAATGTACGAGCCTCCTCTCAATACTAGCATAGGATTCTCTGGATTTGAATCTTGGTTTGGTGATTTAAATATTGTACTTGTCCATTCCCAAAGGTTACCGACCATGTCATACATACCTACAAATAAATATATTGTAAGATTAACCCAAAAAATTTACAATCTTGGTTAATATTATAGAGGTGTAGCTAACACATTGCATATTCTAAGCATGTATTAGTGAAATGGAATGTAAATCACTTCGGCAGCGAAAAATCACAGTTGATAGCCAAGGGAGTGAGGGATTGCATTTTAAACAAATATTACCGGTATATATATAGTGTATATAATTAGTGCAAATTTGCTTGTAATTTTTTGTAATTTTCACTCACTTGTGTTTTGATTTTAGACCGAACAGAGTATATAATTATGCCATTGCATCTAATTTTCGATTAAAAAAAATTTGAAAATTGTTGCCCACATTTTATGTTGAAAAGAGCAAAAGTAAAAGTATTTTGTGGATGATAACTGCTTGTGAAGTTGGTGCTCAAAACGTTAATAGGCCAGAAAAATACTTTACATGTCAATATGTACATATTCATCATTTTTCAGTTTCAGAATTTCGGTAAAAAAAGCAAGATTTCGGAGAAGGTACCTGAAAAGAGGTTTGGTTTAGATATACATGTATAATTCTACTGGATTGTCTTGATTGCTTTACTGTACATGCATTCTTTATGCAAGATGAAAGTCTTACCGTAATCGTTTTGTGGTTCAAATGCATCTACTGGGGATGATCCGTGGTAACCATCTTCCTTAGTGTTTTCTTCAGGAAACTTACCCTGCAAGTAAAAAATAAAATTAAACAATTTGATTACATAGCCCCTTTCATGCAATAGTACCAGTAAATAAAAGGGAAACCAGTCAACCATTTTAAATTAGGACTTGACATGATATAACGTATGTGTATGATTTGATATGTGGCTTGATTTTGATGCATTATCATGTTTTGATTTCTGTACGTCCGTGTGTCCGTGTTTCCCTGCGTGCGTTCGGACCTGAATCTCAGAAATGTCTGGACCAATCACAATCAAACTTCACACATGCATCATACATGATATTATACATATGCATATCAATGGGCAAATGGCGGCCATTTTTGTTCTAAAAATCATTAAAATCAAGCATTTCTTGACTGTTTAGAGATGGATTTTGTTCAAACTTGGTATATACGTTGAACATTATAGTACCTTGATGCACATCATTTTGTTTTCAGATAGGATTCAAAATGGCAAACTGGCGGCCATTTTGTTTTAATAAATGTGGTTCTAGTGCCATATCTCTGACTTGCTGTGACTGATTATGTTCAAATTTTAAATATTTATTATACATCATGTCATGGATATACAGATATATTGGTTTGACGATCCTATTAAAAATGACTGAATGGTAGCCATTTTTGTGCTAAAAAAATCATCAAAATCAAATTTCTCGACTGTTTACAGATGGATTTTGTTTAAACTTGGTACATACATTAGACATTATAGGTTCTTGATGCAGTTATTTTATTTTTTAGATCGGATTTGGAATGGCTGACTAGTGGCCATTTTGTTTTAATGAATGGGCTTCTAGAGCCATATCTCTGACATGCTTTGACTGACTATGTTCAAATTTCATATATTCATTATACATGTATTCAAAATGGCTGATTTTGTTTTAATTAATGCTGTTCCAGAGCAATATCTCTCAATACCTGTTTGACGATCAGATACAAATGTCAATCATTTAAATGTTAAACAATCATCATAATCATATTCCTGACATGTTTATATTCCAGCTATATTACTATAAACAAAACTATATATTTTAAATTCGATAACTAACGGGGACTGTGCTTGTTATTTTTAAAATGAACACCATTTGGCCATCTTGAATTGAATTGCAAAATAAATGCATTTGATTTGTGTGACAATGCATGTAATGCATTTGTAAAGTTGAACATGATTCACCAGTCGACCATTTTAAACTTAATTTGAAAAATAAAATGATGTGCATCAAGGTGCCATTACGTTCAATTAATCTGCCCATGCATGACTCAGATTCGGTTCTGTGATAATGTGTGATTCTGATGCATTTTTGACCATTCGACCATTTTTAATCATATCATGAAACAAATGCAGATGCATATGTCCAATATAATGTCTGATGTTTGTGTGAATTTTGAACTAGATCAGTCAAATCATGTGTGAGATATGGCTGGATACAGACGGATGGACAAACAGCAAGGAGGTCAGTCCATAAGTCTTATAGAGATTAATAAAGTGTAAGTTTTATTTCAGGAGAGGTGAGTTTCCTCTCTACATGCTAAATTTATTAGAGTCACCCTAGTTCCACTGCCATGTCACCCTAGTTCCACTGCCATGTCAACCTAGTCCCACTGCCATGCCACTCTGGTCCCACTGCCATGT